CATTGCATTATATGTTTTGAAACTACAGAGCTTTGATCATAAAACTAAGTATTTAAATATCATCTTACTAAGACATATTATTGGAGATAGAGAGTGACAGCTGATATTTGTTTCATTTTATGTAACTATCTGCTATAATGTTATAAAGATCTCAGTAATTTACATAACAAGCATCAGAATTTCATCTTACTTTTTGACCATATAAATATAAAGAACTGCAGCAAATTGCATATTTTTGCTCAGTTTGAGTCTCTGAATCTCAAGTACAAGCTCCATATTTTCACTATATCATACTGTATGAGCCATAAAAGCCTGATGAATCAAACACTCATAATATTCATAACTTTGAACACTTATGTGTGATTTCAGTGTGGTGATCTCTGATTTTGTGACTACATACATACAACAAAGTCAAAATTGTCAAATTACAAATATTTTGCAAATGAGACATTTTGAGAATAATGCTGATTCTATATGCTGAGTCATATAAGCTGCATTGCATCAACTCCACATTTGCTTCACATTTAAACAAAGTGATTTCAAGCATGTTATGTTTGATGGCAATTTAAAATGTCTCATTTGAGTGGCAAGATAGAGCGGGACTGTAGGAAATTTGAGCTGGATTACATTTGTTAAATCACCATAAAATCTAAAAGAGCATTACTGCTGCTCGTCTTTTAATGGGCAAGAGTGAAAATAATAGTATGTTAAGCAGATGTGTTTGAGATTTGGAAATTCAATAATGCGTAGCATTTAAAGAGATCACCCCAAAAGTAATCACTTATCATTTGCACCCTCATGTTATTGTGAGTGAACTATTACTTTAAGAAAAAAAAAAGCTAGCCTAACCCGTTATTTCTCTTTCTCCTTTCAGGACTGCATTGAGAAGAAAGGAGAATTTGTGGGGTCGGCTTGCGGGCCTCACGGTCCGTACGTTCCTGATGTTCTCTTCTGGTCTATAGTTCTCTTCTTCTCTACTGTGGCCATGTCAGCGTTCCTCAAAGAATTCAAGACCAGCCGCTACTTCCCCACCAAGGTACCGCAGTCATTATCTGCCCACCGCCTGTCTGAGAGCCACCGCTGCCGCCGCACTTTGTTCTAAAATAACTCTGGCGCCCTCTAGTGTTACTGTGGAGAATCTGTTGCTGCTGGGAATAACAATTGTAAAAAAATGGACGTGACATGTGGCCAAGTATGGTGGCCCATACTCGGAATTAGTGCTCTGCATTTACCCATCCAAAGTGCACACACACAGCAGTGAACACACACACACACACCCGGAGCAGTGGGCTGCGGCGCCCGGGGAGCAGTTGGGGGTTCGGTGCCTTGCTCAAGGGCACCTCAGTCGTGGTATTGAAGGTGGGAGAGAGCCCCCCCACAAACCCCTGCCGGTACGAGACTCGACCCCGCATCCTTTGGGTTACGAGTCAGACTCTCTAACCATTAGGCCACGACTTCCCCTAAAATCCTAGTAAATCCTAAATCCTTTAAATCCTGTTACCTCCAGGTCAGAGCCATCATCAGTGACTTTGCAGTCTTCATCACTATTTTTACGATGGTTCTGGTGGATTACGTTTTAGGAGTGCCTTCCCCCAAACTGAAGGTCCCTAATGTGTTTAAGGTTTGTTTATGTCTTACAATTTCAATATGCATATGCATAGCAACCATCCAGAACACCCTAGCAACTGCTCTATCTATCTATCTATCTATCTATCTATCTATCTATCTATGGAGTGCCTTCCCCCAAACTGAAGGTCCCTAATGTGTTTAAGGTTTGTTTATGTCTTACAATTTCAATTATTATGATGTTGGCTTGAGAAAGATATGCATAGCAACCATCCAGAACACCCTAGCAACTGCTCTATCTATCTATCTATCTATCTATCTATATGTATGTTTTAAAAGACTGGATAAGAATAGTTTTTGCAGGTTTATTATAGTCTTGCTACTATGTTTTCAGCCAACTCGTGATGATCGTGGGTGGTTCATTAACCCGCTGGGTCCGAACCCGTGGTGGACGTGTGTGATTACAGTCGTTCCCGCCCTCCTCTGCACCATCCTCATCTTTATGGACCAGCAGATCACAGCTGTTATCATTAACAGGAAGGAGCACAAGCTGAAGGTGCTGCTAGTTTCTTCAAACTGTCAGTCAAGTCTGAGTGAAATGAGTTAACCCTTCGTTTGACGTCTTGTTTCTACAGAAAGGCTGTGGCTATCATCTGGACCTGTTCATTGTGGGCGTGATGCTGGGCGTCTGCTCTCTGATGGGGCTGCCGTGGTTCGTGGCAGCGACGGTTCTGTCCATCTCTCACGTCAACAGTCTGAAGCTGGAGTCCGAGTGTTCGGCGCCCGGAGAACAGCCCAAGTTCCTCGGGATCAGAGAGCAGCGGGTCACTGGCCTCATGATCTTCCTCCTCATGGGCTGCTCTGTATTCATGACCTCAGTGCTGAAGGTCTGGAGCTCAGTGATCAAGATATCCATAATTGCATTTAGATTTATGCATTTGGTTGATGCGTTTACATTTTATGCATACACCCTTGTGAAAAAGAAGCATGCTTAATTATAATAAATGTGTGCTTGTAGTTAATTCAAATCTTAAAAGTATATATTTAAAAATAATATAATGTTACTAAAATAAAAGGCCACTTAAGTGTACTAAAAGAGTCAAATTAATGACTATGTTTCGTAACACACTTAAGTGCACTTTTAAAAAGCACGCCACACTTTAATAATGTTAGATTAAAAGTTTCACTTTTAAATAATTATGTTTGAATAATCTTCTGTTGTGCTTTAAAGAAGTACACTTATATTGATTTGTTGACACATGTAAAGTACTTGATTATAATTTTAACTGTAGTGTGTTATTTAGTATTCACTTTAAAGTTAGTATATTTTATATGTACTAAATTGCAGCTTCGTCGTTACAAATGTGTAATTGTAAACATATTGAAGTACATGACATAAAAGTTTTAATAGAAAATACATTACAGTATATTTTAGTCACATAAATATTTATCAGTTCATTCAGTCAGTACACTTTAAGCACATTTAAAAAAAGTAATCATGAAATTACATATAAAATTGTACTTAAGTGCTACTTAAGTGGGTCAAAAAGCACTCTAAAGTTCAGCTAATTGCATTTCATATGAATTTGAACTATTACATATTTTCATTTGCAAATTAATGGCAAATTAAAGCTTTTTTTTAGTTCTAACACTAAGGTGTGCATTAAGTTCACACTTAAGTATATTCTCTTAAAGTGCATTATTATTATTTCCATAATAAGTATGAAAGTGTACTCCTTTTTCATAAGGGTAGTTCATTCATTTCCTGGGAATCGAAACCACAACATGGGTTTTACTAGCGTTGTGCTCTAGCGTTTCTACAGTATAACTCAAACAGCAATTTAGAAGTGTACGTTAAAATGGTTCATATCATGAGAAATCAGATTTTACATTTGAAAAGTAAGAGGTCATTATACAATATGATCATATAACACTAAATTATGACAGAATTTTGCACAAAAGCTTTTATAAATTTAAAATTCTTAAAATATTTAAAATTTTTAAGAGGACCAAATATTAGGTAATGAAAATGTTTATTTTGTTTATTCCTTAGTTTATTCCAATGCCAGTGCTGTATGGAGTTTTCCTTTACATGGGTGCATCTTCACTGAGAGGAATACAGGTAAACACACTATAGACGAAGTCTGTTTACAGTATAAGCATTTACAACTTATATAAAAAAAACGTACCAAAATATTACTATTATTTTTTTTCTGTTATTCTGTTAAAAGCTCATGTTAGGTAATCTCTAATGCAGTGTCCACAATACTATTCAAAGCAGTGTTGTTTTAGTATCATTCAGATACTATTATAGTTTTTATTAATATTTAGAATTTTTGTTACTTTTATAGTTTCTTTTAGATTTTGAAGTTTTAATAATTTGGTTGTTTTTGTCATTTTTAGTCGTTTTTAAAAAAATAAATAAAAGTAGCCGAATTACTACTAGCTGAATTAAATTGAGTTTAGTTTATTTTTTATATATTTTAGATAGATATTTTACATAACTTGAAAAATGTATATTCAATATAAAAATGCCCCATGGAGTTATTTTTCGTTTTTCATAACTTTTTCAGGTTTAGAAATCACTTTTAAAATTAGGCTTCCTCATATATCCACTTTATCCAAGATTGTGGGAATCCTGGTTCTTCAAAGACATAAAACAGATGAATTAAAATAAAAAAATATATCATTTTTTTAGTTGTTTTAGCTTATTTTAAGTAAGTCATCTCGAGGCCCCTTTGGATGTTTGCTGAGGCCCCTGGTTGAGAACCACTGCTCTAATGTACACATTTCTCCTTTTTTCTATTATTTTAGTTTTTTGATCGTTTGAGATTGTTCGGGATGCCGGCTAAACACCAGCCAGACTTCATTTACCTGAGACACGTTCCACTCCGAAAGGTTCATCTGTTCACCATCATCCAGCTCAGCTGTCTGGTTCTCCTCTGGGTCATCAAAACCTCCAGAGCTGCCATAGTCTTTCCCATGATGGTGCATACTTAACTTTTTTATGTTATTGTTAATATTTACCACAGTATGCAAGTGTAAACTAGTTTGATCCATCATAGATGGATAGTAATAGCATAGTTGGTCAAACATGTCCAAGCGTGTCTGCTAGAGTAATTGCCTCGTTAAGCATCTCTTAACTGTTTCAACTCATGTTTTTTGAATAATATGTCATAATTGAATTAGTGATTTGCTGCCGGCAGGTGTTGGCACTGGTCTTCATTAGGAAGCTGCTGGATTTTATCTTCACTAAGCGAGATCTCAGCTGGCTCGATGACCTCATGCCCGAGAGCAAGAAGAAGAAACTGGAGGACGCTGAGCGAGAGGTGAGCTTTACCATTTATTATCTAAATAGAACGCTCACTGTGAATAAGCACTTGTAATGTGGCTGCAAGCAGCAATTTGCAAGGTCCAAGCAGAGCAGAAAGAACAAATGAAATGCACAAATGTGCCTGACATTAAAGATCAGAACGGGGATTTTAAAAGAATCCAGAAAATCCTGGACAAAAGATTGGGGTTGTTTTTGAAAGAAGTCTCTTCTGCTCACCAAAGCTGCATTTATTTAGTCAAAAATACAGCAAAAATATTGTAATATTGTGAAATATTATTTCAATTTGAAATAACTTTTTTTATTTGAATATATTTTAAAATATAATTTATTCCTGTGATGCGATGCAAAATTTGGTGACTTCTTGCCACACAGTGAAAAAAAAGTAGGGGACAAATAATGACCTGCTACAAATGCTTCACTGTTTGGACCCCTAAAAACATGAGTAATTAGTAATTGGAAGACAATGTCTGTGTAACTGAATGACTCAACATGACTGCTGCTCGAGTTTATTTATATAAGCTGAATAAAAGTAAAAGCATGGGTTTTCTTCGGCGAGTTTTTGAGGTCCTGCTTTAATGAGGAGATCTGATTTGTGCTCCAGTTTTGCAGTTTGTTTTTCCTGCATTCAGAGACTTTCTGACCCCCTGGCACATAATCTCATGTTTTACTCTTGCTAAAATTGCCATGATACGTTTCTTATAGAGAGACCCCAATTCACCCACCTCAGTATCTGAATGCATTCATTTCATGCCAAACAAATGGAACATGAATCGATCTGCCAAAATGTCCTTCAGCAAAGTTATTTAATCTCAAAGGGTCTCTGAAGTTCTCTTTGGCTGGACGGGAATAAAACTGTCTCTCTCGCTCTTTCTCCCTGTGTTTACTGCCAGGAGGAGCAAAGTATTTTGGCAGAGGAAGAAGGAATCGTACAAGTGCCATTGGAGGGACATTACAAGTATGGACCAGATTTTCCTAACTAATTCCCACAATAGCAAGCAAGAAATACTAGTATTTGTTGTTTTAAAAAACAATAGGGCAATACTTAACATGGATTTTACCATTGGTTCTGTATTTTTTATAAACATACTTATACTGTACATATACACTAGAGAAATAATGAAATAAGTAGAATGAAATAAATACTTAAATACGTCAACAAGTAGAATTAAAGACAAATGATAAATATTGACATTTATTAAATAAGCAATTGTAAAGCGTCCGCCATTGCATTAGAATTTTGAGTCAAAATCATGTGTTTTATGATTGTTTTCATGCAGACTTATATTTCATTGATTTTATGATGTTTTTAATGGATATTTTCAGAGATGATCCTTCTACTGTCAACATTACTGATGAAATGTCCAAAGGCTCCTTTGGAAATACTTGGAACTCCAAAACTGATCTGAACTCAAAAAGGTTCTAATTTATTTTCATATGAATATATATATATTTTTTGGTATGAGCACACCACTTCTGCATTAAGCGCCAGAAAATCTCTCTGCAACCAGCCACACAATTTAAAGGCAGAGTGAGTGATTTTTCAAAAACGCTTTAGAAAACTGATTCGGGCCGAATCGCAAAACAAACTTGTAGCCAATCAGCAATAAGGGGCGTGTCTACTCGTGATGTGGAGGAGAGCGCGTTCAGTGCACGGGACGGACACTAGCCGAGCCGAGCGACAGAAAGATAGAGATGGCGGACAAAAAATAAAAGAGGAAAACGTCTGTGGAACGATAAGGCAAGAAGTAGGACCTGTGTAAATATCGGATCAGCTTTCCAGCGCTGGAGAGAACTCAAGGAGCGGAGGCCTGCGATCGGACGCCGAGGTTGCTTTGTTTCTTATCAATGGGTGAGGAACACCGTGTCTACAACAGCTAAAGTCTGCCTACACTGGACGCGATCAAACAAGCTTTGAAAACCATTTGAAATTTGTGTCAGCACGTCATAAAGAGAACCCGGCAGCAGTTTTCTGTCGGGGATTTGTTGCGCCGCGCCGCTCCGTAGACACGGTGTAATATTGGTTTTGCTTTGTTTCACAGAACTAATCGTTGCCTGGGTTGTGTATGTATATGTGGGGCGGAGCTATCAGAATAGAGGCAAGACCCTTTTGGGGTAGGGGCATGTTTGTTTTGGTGATTTCAAATATCAACATTGGCTACCAGAAATCACTTACTCTGCCTTTAAAGAATCATTTATGTTTATGTCACTTGGTTGTAAGCATTGTGGGATGAGTTACACACTGAAGTTTAAAAGCTGAAAATCATTTACTGTAGCTAATTTGGCGTTCCTGGTCAAAAATGACTGGCCTTTTAAAAATAGCTTTTAAATTTCTCATTACTCTACAGTATATTGTTATCACCAAATCTTGGATTCAATCTTTTTATCAGCTTGTTTTCTTTCATTTAACACAGGTTTTCATTTTGGAACCGATTGATCATAGGCCTGAAAAAAAAATCACAAAAAAGTACAGGACAGCTATTATTAAAATGTTGGGGATGTTGTTATACCCTGTTTTGTAGATGCGAGAAAATTAACAAGCATTTTCAGAAAAAAGAAATTCCTCTCCAGGTCAGAATGACCAGAACACAAAAGAATGAGTAATAACATCAGTGATGCACCATTCAACAGCAGTTGGTGAAGTCAAAATAATATTACCAGTGTTGGGGGTAATGCATTACAAGTAATACGAGTTACGTAATCAGATTACTTTTTTCAAGTAACCAGTAAAATACCGCTTTATTTTTTAATTTACAAGAAAATATCTGAGTTACTTTTTCAAATAAGTAAGGCCAGTTACTTTGTTTTCTCATGTATTGACCGACAGCTCTCCTGTCCTCATGTTGAGAGAAATCAGGAGTGAGTGCAGAGGCGTGCGCTGTGTGAACATGATGTTACTGTAGTTCTAGATTAAATGTGAACATGTATTTATTAATCTTACTTGCACAAAACAGATTCAGGATTCCTCAAAATGAATACAATTTGTGAAATGCAAACTCAGAATATGACGCAAACCTGCAATAATTAAATATGGTAATTAACACAAATATCCTTTATGTATTTAATCCCAGTTTATTAAACAATGTCGTTACTGCTGACCTTCGACGATCCAATTCAACCATTCTAATAAGCAAAAATGACTTTAGATAAACATAACATTTGTATTTGTAATGTTGAACTTTCTTCTCCTGCGTCCTATTCTTCATGCTATAGATTCACGTTTTTTTGAGCTGCGCCCTCTACTGTACAGACGTGAATTTCCATTTCCTTCAGCCTGAGGCTTAGTCATTTCACTTTTGGTGTAAAAGGGCCTTTACATTTGCAAAATATAATTTTTTATATTAAAAAAAACAAACAAGTAAGCCCAGTTACTTTTTAGGGAGTAACACAAAATTGTAATGCATTACTTTTAAAAGTAACTTTCCCCAACACTGAATATTACTAATTGTAAGTGTCTTTTAAACCCTTTTACTTTACTTTAATATTAAGAATGATTGTGGACAAAACAGTATCTGACAGGTAGTTAGTTATCTGTGCAATAGCTTTTGTCCTGCACCTTTAAATGGTCACTGTTTCGAAACACACGTGCACACATTGTTAATTTTTTATTTGACCCTTTTATTCTGCATTACGACGCATTTTGATTTAATTACTACTTCTTTCGTTTTTATTAGCCCCCTTTCCTAAGCTTGCAGATGCTGATCCCCAAAGGTAAGCGCACTGGACTGTTCTCATAGCAACATCCCACGTCACTTTAGGATCTCATCTTGTCTTTCTTCGCATGGCAACAAGTATTTTGACTAAATTGGCAGCGTTTGACAGATTTGATTGTAATCCATCTGGAACAGACATTTACCATTATGTGTCTCTCCAAGAATGTTTGAATTTACCCCAATTATTCCATCCAGTTAAACAGTCGAAAACAATAAATCATACACATCTCTCTGTAAGTGTCAGACAAAGATAGACAGCATGTGATCATCTTTTGTTGTTGGTTTGTTTACTACTAAGACAGGAAAAATGTCTAATCAGCCGTGAGCTCGTGAAGTGTGAATGTGTGTCCAGTCTGATAGCTGCTAAACATGGATTATTATTGAGATCTTTGTGTGTTCAGTGCAATCACAAGGAAATATTCTGCCCATAAAGTCTTTTTGTCATGAATACTTAAAGGAATAGACCATCCAAAAATGAAAATTTGCTGAAAATTCACTCACGCTCAGCCCATCCAGAGATGTAGATGAGTTTGTTTCTTCATGGGAACAGATTTGGAGAAATGTAGCATTACATCACTTGCTCAGCAATGGATGCTCTGCAGTGAATGGGTGCCGTCAGAATGAGTGTCCAAACAGCTGATAAAAACATCACAATAATCCACACCACTCCAGTCCATCAGTTTACATTTTGTGAAGCCAAAAGCTGCGTGTTTGAGAAACAAATCCACCATTAAGGCATTTTAACTTTAAACTGTTGCTTCCGGCTAAAATATGAGTCCATAATCCATAACACTTTTTCTAGTCTAAAGAAAGATTCCAAGCTCATGATTGGTCTGTCTTGATAGGTTTACAGGTGCATCTCAATAAATTAGAATGTCATGGAAAAGTTCATTTATTTCAGTAATTCAACTCAAATTGTGAAACTCGTGTATTAAATAAATTCAATGCATTCAGACTGAAGTAGTTTAAGTCTTTGGTTCATTTAATTGTGATGATTTTGGCTCACATTTATTTCCACGACATTCTAATTTATTGAGATGCACCTGTATATAGTATTGTTAAAAATCAGTTTGGAGAAAATAAATGGGATTTGCCAAATTGATAAACATTCGATCAATATTGTCATTAAAAGTGCTATTGCAGTTTAGGGTAATTCAGGTGAACTAATTCCCTTTTTTATGTCATTTTACAGCCTGTCTAATAAGAAAGTGCACAAGGAGCGTCGATGGAAAGAAGATTCACTGTGTTCATGCACACACACACACACACACACACACACACACACACACACACACAGATTTACCTAGCTATCGAAATAGACATATATTGTTTTTTAAGGAATAGTTCACAAAAATAAAATGAATATATATTTATATAAAATAAATATATATTTATATAAAATAAATGTATGTTTATAAATGTGTGTGTGTATATATATATATATATATATTATTTATTTATATATATATTTTTTTTGTGAACTATTCCTCCAGGTATAAATAATGCAAATTATAATTGCTTCTGACTAACCCATACACAAACTTGACCCCTAACCCTACATTTGTTATGACGAACAACTTTTCCATAAGTTTTTACAGATTTAATTAAAGGGGTCATAGGATGCCCATTTTCCACAAGTTGATATGATTCTTTAGGGTCTTAATGAAAGGTCTGTAACATAGTTTGGTTAAAATTTCTCAATGGTAGTGTAAAAAAAAACAAATTTTTTACCGTCAAAAACAGCTCTTCTCAGATCAAGCCGTTTTTGTAGCATTTTCCTTTAAATGTTAATGAGCTCTGCTGACCCCGCCCCTCTCTTCCGAGCTGCTGTCAGAGAGACTGTTTACTTTAGCCACATTCATTGTGAAACTTGCTAATTAGCACATTATTAGGAAAGGCGATTTGCAAAGATTAATTACAAAACATTATACTCACTTCTTCTGTAGATGATGCTGGATCATGAATGATTCGCACGAACATAGATGCATTTATGTAGATCGGGGGCGCATTCCCTTCAGAAACAATGTAATCCACTGCGTCTTCAGCGGCTCAGATGTAGGGAGTAAATGACGACTGCTTTGTTCATTATTACATCCAACAACAAAACACCTCAATCGCTTAGGAGTCATTCTTGTCTACATCTGCTCCGGCGGTGAAACAATGGCGGACTGATGACAGCTCACTGAGGGCGGAGTTAAGGTAAGACACTGTCAATACTGTCAATCAAACAATCGTGGGAGGGGCCTGTCTGTGTGACGTCACACAGACAAGCATCTGAGATCTGCTCGATTTGAGAAAGGGGAAAACATTTAACCAGATTAAAATGTAAAATTTATCATTATAGGGTGGTTGTGTACACACACTGCCAACACACATTTTAGTTCAAACAACTTGTAAAAGTGCATGTAGCATACTATGACCCCTTTAACTTCTGGAGACATTATCCATCATTCACCTTAAAGTATAGCTAGTTTACAAGTAAACACACATATAAACTCTAACTTGTTCGACGCCTCGGCTTCCTGTCTCGTCTTGTGTTTCTGTATTTTAAACTTTTCAGCTTCTAGGCATAAAGCCTGTACATACATAATAGTAATACCAGCAAATGATGCGGAGATTATTGTGTGGGAAATGAAGAGAAAGTGTGGCAGAATTTGAAATTATTTCCAACTTTTATTTTAAATGTTCTCTGAAGTATTTTATATGTTTTGTATTTTTTTTTAAATAGCATTCCTGTGCAACTTTCACTACAGTTTTAAATGTGTAAACAATCTACAGTAGGTGAGCAATTAATTTAACTTCATTACAAATAGCCATTTTATCATTAAATTGCATGCATTACTGTTTTTGTATTCATGTTTTGGGGTGATGAAGAAACTTTCTGTTCATATAAAGGTTGAATGATATAGCTAAACCAACTGTATCATATTATTCAGCTTTTTGATGATATTTAGTATATTCACTACTGGATTTATATATATATATATATATATATATATATATATATATATATATATATATACACTTGTATGTATTTATAAATATATATTTATTTTATATAAATATATACCATTGCCACTATTGTGTGCTTGAGCAAGACACTTGAGGGTCAGTATGAATCCAGTCAGTGTATTTACTGTAAGACGCTTGAATAAATAGCATAAAACATGTTGTAAATTCTTGATATACCTGCAATATCAGAAAATTGCTGTATTTTGTTTAAGACTACCTTTGCATTGATGCAATGTTAATCATTTTCAAAGTCATTTTAGCTATTAATATATATTTTTTTGCAGAATGCTGCTTTTGTAAATATTAGTTCCATCAAGAGTTTATACCTCTGTTTTGAAGCCTGTATGTCAATACTTGCAATGCCAAAGTGTGGATGTGTTTTCACACTAATAATGATGGTGGAGAAACATCTGAAGTCATATCAGCTGCACATCAGTAAACTGTCCCCTCAAAATGATTGTCTCTCTTAAGCAATTGAATGCATTAACTGGATACTGTAGATACAGACTACATTATTTTTTCTCAAAATAAAGCAATAGTGTTTTAGAAGTGCGGGTCCATCAAATAATGAAGGTTTTGCATGTTGAGGTCCTCATGCAATTAATAATTTCCATTGAAAAAACTTTAACTTCTGCCATTTATAGTGCTGTATGTATTTATAACAAAATGTGTAAGAGAAAATGATTTTCAAATCATACATACACTCTTAAGAAATGCTGGGTTAAATGATTTAATCCAACCGCTGGGTCAAAACAGCCCAATTGCTGGGTTTGTCCTTATTTTACACAGCACTTGGTTGTATTTAACCCAGCATTTTTTAGAGTGTACTGTTTATTATTATGCATATTTGTTTTGTATGGATTATATCTTCACACTCAAATGGTTTGATTCTGAAAGACGAGTGATTGTTATCATGCTAATATTTTCACAGTTTATTAAAATGTTCATGCCGACTTACATTACTGGAATACTATGTCTACTGTGTTTTGATGTTTCTGTAAATTAACTTGAATGCACTATCACTATATTCTCTTCAGTCTGTATGGTGTGATTTTGGGATCTTTTATCTGTATGCTTTAAATATATATAATTTTTTTTTGTGGGGGTGGGGCTATGACAAGCATTTCCTTCATTTGCATTTGTATTTCATGAACTGAGAGAACTGGGTATAATTAGACTTTTTTTTTTTTAGATTTTGTTCCTGCTATTTCTTCTACAGTGAAATAAAAAGCTCTGCCATATGAATATGGATGTGTCCCTTGATGAAGTATATCTCATACCATGTTTCTGTAATTATCAGGGGGAAGAAATGCACAGTACATAGTCATATATCAGTCTGACATAAGATACAGTTGGCTGAATAAATGTGGATGTAGATGACAGTTCAGGAAAAAGCTTGAGTCTTGAGATTTAATGCACAAATAATTTTTGGGGCTAAAGTATAAATATTTTTGTGAGTAAATACTAATGTTATCAGTGCAAACATCTTCAAATACGTCCTCAGATTTGTTGATAATAATAATCAATGGTGAGTTGCTTTACAAGCCCACCATAGAAAGTAGTTGGATAGAAACTATTTATATAAGAATAGAAAACAAGTACAAGACAATGTAAACTTTTGTGTGAAGGAAAACAAAAAAAACAATAGGTAGTCTATTAAAATAATCTAGTAGTATAAGTAGATATGAATTAGTAAGTGCAATTGTTTAGGTGTGTGCAAATCTTTCCTCATACAAATAAATTATGTTAAATAGATTGTTAAAGTGGTCATCGGATGCCCATTTTCCACAAGTTGATATGATTCTTTAGGGTCTTAATGAAAGGTCTGTAACATAGTTTGGTTAAAATTTCTCAATGGTAGTGTAAAAAACACCTTTTTTACCCTGTCAAACAATCCGTTTTTGTAGCATTTTCCTTTAAATGTTAATGAGCTCTGCTGACCCCGCCCCTCTCTTCCGAGCTGCTCTCAGAGAGACTGTTAACTTTAGTCATCGAAACTTGCTAATTAACACATTATTAGGAAAGGCTATTTGCAAAGATTCATTACAAAACATACTCACTTCTTCTGTAGATGATGCTGGATCATGAATGATTTGTGCTAACATAGACACATTTATGTAGATCGGGGGAGCATTCCCTTCAGAAACAATGTAATCCACTGCATCTCCCCAGTGACGTCACACAGACAGGCATCTGAGATCGGCTCGATTTGAGAAAGGGGTAAAGATTTGAGCAGATAAAAAAAAAAACACTGGGTGGATTTTTATCTTTATAGGGTGGTTGTGTACACACTCTACCAACACACATTTCAGTTCAAACAACTTGTAAAAGTGCATGTAGCATACTATGACCCTTTTAAATGCTCCCGGTTGACCTTATGTAGCTCCGCCCTTTTCAGCACTGCGCACAATGTCTTCTGTCTTCCGTCTGTATTTCCACAGCTTGAAGGGAAATTCGTATGAATTTATGAATGAACGTACCATACTGTGATGTCGTGTCCGGCCGGATCGATGAGACAAAAACATTAAAACCCATTATAAACGAGGCATTTGTTGCATCCAGTTTTTGCATCCATCACTGCATTTGTGATCGGAGAAATGACAAACAACAAGCGCTACTCTACACTGCCCAAAACTCGCGTTTGAATCATCAGTGGCAAATTCTTTATATATAAAAAACGTACTTACAGTCTGAGAGTCAGAACAGCCGGCATTGTAGTCTACTCTCCCAGGATCAGGAAACAGTCCTCCATAAAATGTGCTGCACACATCTGAATATTTGGTTTGAAGTGTTCTGGAACAGTGTTGTAAATACAACTTAACCACTGATTTCTAGTCGTGTCTTCTTTTGGAAGGCCAAACAAAGTAGTTTCACTTTCACAACGAAACACACAGCGTCACACACGGCAGGCTTGAGTGACATTCGACGAAGGAGCGTCTGGAGGGCTTGCGGCAACCACATGTGACGACCCCGGGCTGGACTCCGCTTCGTCCACGATGAAAGCCGATCCGGCGATCCACAGCACGAAGTTTATGTATTTCCTCAGCGACCAGCACGGATCAGCTCTAGGCATGACGAAGCGGATATCGTCCTCTTTTGGAAGACCAAACAAAGAAGTTTCGCTTTCACAACGAAACACAGCGTCTTCACGACATGGTGGCAACAACAATACTACAGCGAGAATAAACGTTAAGCCTTCTTATTTTGCGTGAACATTTGGGCGGCGTTATGCAAATCTTCCCACATAGTGATGTAGACATGTGGGGGCGTGTTAGAACGAGCCGTTTTAGGTAGGCGTGGCTGACTCTTAACTTTTATAAAGAATATCTCTTTGGATTTGAGACTTTAGTC